TGCTTGCCGCACACCGGGCAGTCTGCCGGCCGTCGGATCGTGGTGGGGTGGGTCCAGCGGGAGGAGGAGGCGTTTCCGTACTAAGTCCTTTGCGTGTCTGCTGTGCGGCATCCGCGCCGCACCAGCAGCATGTTCCTGGGATGGCGGGCTGCAGTGGTCGTAGCAGCCATCCGTATTGTGTGGGAAACTCCGCTGCGGAGGCGGTCCAGTGCGGCCTCTACCCCACGAGTGAGGGTGGCGTCCGTGCGCGTCAGTTCCCAGTCGCCTCTTACGGCGGAGCGGCGAGCCTCTGGCTTGAGCTGTCGGGCACGAATAATACGTTCGGCCAATGCGACGATGCCGGTGGTCCATGTGTCTGTGAGCTGCGAGAGATCAGACGCCTTCTCGGATTTCGTATCACAAGCTTCGCTCCGGGACACCTCGCAGTGGCCAAGGACAAGCTGCATCCGTGTGCGCGCTCCTCAGTGCTGCGGGCAAGAAAAAAGGGTACGTCCACGATGTGAGTCACCAGGTGATCCAGAACCGTCGACATGTGTTCGCGTGCCTCCACGGTTCGACGAGTAGGTACATGGGCGCACGCTGCCGTGGAAAAAGTCCCGGTAAATATCGTACTCCCCATGCTAACGCCACATCCCTCTGTATCTGCTGTGGTGCATGAATTACGCACGACCGGAAGAAATTGGGAAAAGAAGGAATTCCTCGTGGAGGCTTCCTCGTACCAGCGTGGCCAATCCACGACCATATCCCTTGCCTGTGGAATGCGGTGTGCCAAATAAATCAAATGCCGCGCCGTGAAGGGATGTACTAATAGCCGGAAGTGGCCGCCACACCTCCTGCACACACAAAACGTGCGGGCTGTAGCGGGCAACAAATCCCAATGCCGCGTCATCCAAGGCTCCCACGTTCCACGCGCACACCTGAGGGGTACAGACATGGCGGTGGTGCGCTCGAGGACAAGTGTGGAACGTGACTGGGAGGGCTTGGTCCGTCATTTCCGCCGCTAATAAGACATCGATCACCCCGTGCACTCGCCACACCAGGGCGGCCCGAAATCACGACAATGCTTCGCGCCTCAATACGCAACCCCACTCGAAGACGTTCCTGAAAACTTGGAGACCTGCTGCTACTCTGTCGCCGCTTTGCTCCTGCAAAAGTTTATGCCCCCTGCATGTAAACCCACGATAAGGCAGAGCTGCAATTCATTAATTCCGCTAGGCGGTTCACCGTATCCTTCCTCCATTGCACAAAATGAGCGTTGAGTTCCTCGCACGCAACTCCATGAAATTACAGTCCGGTACAACATGACATCAGGAGTAACAAGAGCGACAACTCAATCCCCTTCCACACAATCAGCGTGGAACGGGAAAAACTCCTGGAAGCACCCGCTCAAAAAAGAAACAAATCGATAGTAACAACAATCAACAACACTATCGGTGCTGTTAACGATGGCTGGCTGTGGGGCGCAGCACAGCCGTGGCCTCTCAGCCACCGCATAGTTACTAATTCCGCGTGTTACACGTCACATGGCAGCGTAATCGATCATACGGCTTGCACTGGATGCACGGTCCAGCGGGCTCAGCGCGTCTGAGCGGGTGTCACCAGCCATAGGCTGCAACGGCGGTGCGGGTGGTCGGTACGACGACGCAACGGTGGTGCCTGTGGCGTACGATGATGACGTCATTTCGTGGAGCTTCTGCGCGTCCTCGTCACTCTCCTCGTCATCGCGCAGCAGCGCCTCCAGCCCACCACGCCGCGGCTCGCGCAGCTCCTGCCAGTGGCGGTCCTCCGCGTACCACACAACGACGCTGTACACAGTGACCGCAAGCAGCACAGTCGTCAGCAGCAGCACCGTAGCCGCGTACGCCCTCGCTTTGCCGTTGCTCGGCGCAAGATGGTTGGCCGCGCTCACCACGCACTGCGCCGCAAGCAGCACAAAGCTCGCCGTGTGCATCATCGTCAGGAAGGCCGAGCGCATCATGTTCGTGAAGGCAACCACGCCCGCACCCGCAAGCAGCACAGCCGCCATGCAGAAGTACTGGACGTCGCAGCCTCCCACGGGCGGGTGCACAGCCGCAATCAGGCCCACCACACACAGCACCGACAGCTGGAACACGCACCAGTACACGTGGCTGCCCTTCATGTTCGTCAGCATGCCGCCGTACATCCGCTGCTGCGCCGTGGGGTGCCAATACCCGACGGGGTACAGCAGGCGCTCGTGCAGCGACTTCCTCGAAAACTGCCAGTACTTCGTGAAGCTCGCTCCCACGTGGCGGGCAATCAAGTAGCACACGCCAGCAGGAAACGCCACACCGTACAGCACGCCAACAACACCAATCACGCGGTACTGCACGCGGGCGTCGGGCATCGCCAGTGCGAGCACGGAGCCGAAGAATATGCCTAGGTGCATCGCGTGCGCCACAACGTACGTCAGGCTCGGGAAGCGCATCGCCGCCCACGCACTCGCCGCGTCCACGCCGCGCCACCGCTGGAAGGCCGCCGTCACACCGCAGTGCACGCACCCGAACACAGCGGCGAGCAGCGCGTTGCCCACCACCATCCACAGCGGGTCAGGAGCAGCAAACACCGACAGGAAGTACGGCAGCGCAACGGTGCTCGCACGCTCCTGCGCCGAGGCGCATGGCATCCTCGCAAACACGCCGAGCGCCTGCATCTCCAGGATGGAGCCCAGCCCGCCGGTCACCACCACGGCAACAGCCGCCGCACCCGCAACAACGCCGGTGATCGCCGAGAGGGCGCTGGCAGCGGCGGGCAGCGTGTTCGACCTGATCGTGAAGGACCCAAGCAGCAAACCCTTGCAGCCGCCGGACACTGCCGCAGCGTCGCAGCGAATGACTATCGTCTCGTCGGCACCAATGAAGTAACCGCGGTGCACGGGCACAGCCAGCTCCAGGACGGTGGACGGATTCGTCGCGTTGCGCACCCACGTCGCGTTGCGCAGCATCGCTCCCCACGAACCACAAAACCCGCGTGGCTGCGCCGTCGACACAGGCACGAAGCTCAGGTGCGTGCCGAGCTGCGGGTCGCTTGCCCACCGAAACGGCGGCGGCAGCGCCACCATCAGCCGAGTCGGGACGACGCTCCCACCGCCGCGAATGTCGTTCTGCGTCAGGCTCCCACCAGCCGCCGTCGTCGTCACGGCAAGCGTCGGGCACGCCACGTCGCTCCACCACAGCGTGCCGCTCACCGACGCTGTGGGGGTCCGCGTGGGCGGCAGCGCCATCGTCTCCGTCACCTGCAGCGCCTCCGTCGGCCCGTACGGCGTCGGACTGTAGTGCGTCGTGCTCAGGCCCAGCGTCCATGTCGGTGTCGGGCTGCGCGTCTCCGTCAGCGTCGCCGTGTGGCCCAGCGGCGGCATGCCAGGCGTGCGGTTGCACCCGTCCACGTGCGGCAGGTACACCGGCAGGCAGTCGCGCCCGTACCCGCCCTCAGCACAGCGGCAGCGGCACGACCCCGACATCGCCCTCGTCGCAGCTGCAAAGCAGCGCACGTCGGCATCGCACACGCCACACGCCACGGGGCGGAATTCCCCGATGATGCCGGCGGACCTGTAGTCCATCGGCTGCAGCGCCTGCCCGTTGAGCGTCAGGCACCCCACGACGAACCTTCGGCCGGCACCCCCGAGCGCAACGGTGCCGTCCATCACGACAGGCCCGCTGCCGGCGTTCCCGTGGAGCGTCAGCGTGCTCTGCACAAGATCCGCACGGCGCGGGTACGACGGCACAGACAGGAGCCTGCCGCTGATGCTGTTGCCGCGCACCGACAGCCACGACCCGGACGCAAACGACGCCAACCCCCGCAGCTCCAGCAGCGCGCCATCCGTCAGCACACCGGCGTTGTCGTTCACTACGACGGCAGACGCGTTGGCCTCCACACCGCCGTCGAACACCAACCCATGCGCGGCGTACACCTGGCTCCCCGACACGCGCAGCACAGCGCCCCCCGACGCAACCGCGCGCGCACCAGCGTACAACGCAAAGTCGCCACCGAGCACAGCCGCGTCCAGCGCAACACCTCCGCCGACAACCTCCAGCACCGCGCCGTCCACCACCACCGTCCGCCCACCAGTCATCACCGTCACGAGAGCAACGCCGGACACAACCAGCACGGACCGCACAAGCCGCAGGCCCGACAGCACAAGCACCGGTGCGTACGGCGAGGACTGCGAGCCGGGAAGATACACAAGCGACGTCGGCCTCGCAGCAACCAGCACGGAGTCCGTCACCGTCAGCACAGACCCCGCAGGGAACGTGCCGGTCAGCACAAGCGCACCGTTCAGCGCCTCCACATCGCACACGGACAGCTCCACCGGCCCGCCCTCGTCGCTCCCCGCCGCCACCGCACCGCGCAACGCTCCACCGCCCATCACGTACAGCACGGCGCCGTTCAGCAGAGACACGTTCTGCACAACGATCCGCACGCCGTCCCGCGCCATCCACGGCACGTAGAGCACCGGACTCACGCCTTCCAGCACAACGTGGCGCAGCGTCACCTCGCTCGCGCCGGCAGGCACAACGAACACCGACCGCACCGTCACGCCCTCGCGGACAAACACACTCGACGCGGTGCCCGCAGCGGGCGGCAGCGCGGGAGCTTCCACAGGCACGCACGCCTCGCCGTACCCGCCGCTGCCGCAATCGCACACGCAAACACCGTTCATCATGCTCGCAGACGCCGTCCCGGGCGCGTAGCAGTGCGTGTCCCTGTCGCAGGCGTCGCACCCAACAACGTCGATGCTCCCAGCGTCGCCAAAACCAGCCGCTGCGTACTCCTCCGCCGTCGACAGGACACGCCCACCAGCGTCGTTGCACGCCACTCTCAAATGCGCCCCAGCCGCAAGCGACAGGCTCAGCGACAGCATCCGTGGCAGCAGCGCTCGGTTGCACACAAAGCTCAGCGTGCTCCCAGCAGCGGTCACGGTGTCAGCCGCGTAGAGCATCTCCCTCGAGACGCCGTCGTGCACGTTGCCCTTCGCCAGCAGCATCGACCCACCATCCAGCCTCACCGTCGAATAAAACGTCACCGCGTGGTCCTCCGTCGACAAGAATTCGCCCCGCACAAGCGCCACTGCGGAGCCCGACACGCTCACAGCCCCGCGCACAGACACCGCGTGCTTGCACAGCAGGAAATCGCTGTCAACAAACGCCACCACGGAGCCACCGCTGGCCGCAACACCGCCCTCCACCGACACGCACAGCCCCAGCGCCGTCTGCACCGACAGCCCGTCCACGTACAGCGCACCGCGCGACGACAGCGCCACGCTGCCAACCACCAACACGCCAACAGCGTCGCGGAACACCGCCGCCACATGCGTGCGCGCAATGGTCAGCACGCTCCCAGTCAGATTCACGCTGTGCACCACGAGGCACGCGGAGGCGGCGCCAAGGCCGTAAGCGTCGCGATACGCAACACGCTCCTCCGCAATCAGCACCGAGTCCACCACAGTGACGCGCGAGCCCGGCGGAAATCGGTTCGCCACCACCACGCCGCCGCCGGAGCGCGACTCAAGCCCGCTGATCAACACATCGGCGCGCTGTCCAGCAGGCGGGTCGGACCGCCACCCGACAACGTACAGGCTCGCTCCGCCCAAAAACGTGCAGTTCGCCAGCGTCACGTTGTGCACGCTCCCTGACATCGACGCCACGTCCACCACGACATCCGCCGCAAAGGTCACACCGACGTAGCACGCTACCGACGTCCCGAGACCGGCGTTCACCTCCACATCCACACGCACGTCACGCACGCACAAGTCGGCGCCGTCAGTGCTCGGTGGCTCGGGGACAGCGACAGGCAGGCACGCATCGCCGTGACCGCCCTCAGCGCAATTGCAGGCGCAGCCATCACTCGAGGCCGTCGTCGTGTACGCGGGGAAGCACGACGCCGCAAGGATGCATGGGTCGCTGCAGCTCAGGATAGTGGCATTGTACACGGACGGGATGCTGTATTTCACTCTCTCCTCGCCGTTCACACTGTTGCACGCAGCCACAATCGCTCCGTTTGTGATATCGCGGGACCCTGTGGATATCCGCAGAACTGTCGGCGTGCCCGTGCTGGACATGAATCGGTTGCCGGAAACAGACACCGTGGAGTCGCGGAGATTCACTTTGGGATAAAGGGAAGCAAACGCTCCTTCGGATGGGGATTCACGGCAGAGGTTGCCGCTCAACTGCAGCCAGG